CTACAGGCAGCCCTACAGGCAGCGCTACAGGCAGCCCTACAGGCAGCGCACATACCCAGAGAAATCAGTATTATCTATACACTGTCGTATTTAAGGCTTGTTTCTGCCTCCAGGTGGCGGTGTCTCCGCGAATCCATCCGTCACTCTGGTTCTGACTCAGCAGGAACTTGCAGCTCTGGCCCAACAGCAGCAGGACGTCTACCACCAACCAGAGCCAGAACCACAGCACAGTGTTCCCACAGGTAGAACAAGAACTAGCAGAATGTGAACTGGTTTTATTAAAGAGCCTGTCAGACAGAAACCCTGGAACATTTCTGGTTCTTCAGTGTGTGAATGTGACGTGACGCTGTCATTCAGACTGAGGTCAGGGTTCTTTTCATGTTCTGTTGTGATCACACAGAACCTCTCTGAGATGTTTCTGATGAATTTTGGAGCTGAAATGTGGAAAAAATCCTTTAGATTTCTCCACAGAACTCAGAGTCCTGCTACTTGTTTGTGTCTGTTCATGTGACGCTTCGGTTCTGACCGTGTTGGAGGTTAAATGCTACCCGGTCCGACCCGGTGAGACGTTTACAAAAACGGTAAATTAACGTCAGATTAACAGAGTTCTGGTCTGAAACGGCTTTAGAAACAAGCACCCTGAACAGAGTCTTTGTGTGTTAGTTTTCACCATCCACATGACTAACAGGCATTGACGCACCTGTCAGGTAAACACCGTGTTCAGATCTAACCACCCTGTCCTGGTCAGTGAAGTTCTTTTCCTGTGTTTCTCAGAAGGCCTTGCCCCGGCCGACAGCCTCAATGACCCGGCAGCAGAGAGTAACGGACACGAGACAGCGTCATCGGCCATAACCAGCGCTGTCGCCCGATTGGCCAGCACTTTTGGCCCCGCCCCTACTCTGACAGCTGGCCAGGTGAAGATTCAAACTGCCTCAACACTGACAGACATGACCAATGGCATCGCAACAACTGCAGCGGTGAGAGATGCAACAATTCACAAACATCACGCTAACAGCATAGCCACACTGGGTTAGCTTCATGCTAACAACTACTCCAACAGGCTAGCGATACACTGACAACATCCATAAACATAGCCACACCAGGCTAGCATCATGCTAACACTAGACAAAAATAGATGCTAAGAACATTCTAACAACAATCTAATAAGATGCTTAGAACAGACTAACACACTAACAACAGCTAACAATTCACTAAGAACACATTCACAGGCTATCAACACCATAAGTACATGTTACACTGACTGAACAACACACAGAAAACATGCACCAATAGACTGAAAACATGCTGTCAGTAGACTGACACTCACTGAGGACATGGACACACTGAACTAACACCATGCTGACAACAGACGACCAAGATGAACAACATCATTAGTAGACTATCCACAAACTAACAGCCTGCTTACAACAGGTTAACATCAAACTAACAACAGGCTAATGACATACTAACAACATGTCAAGGACATGCCCACACTGTGCTAACAGCACACTAACAAGAAGCTAAGCACAGGCTAACAACAGGCCATAAACACACTCAAAATGTAAACAGGCTAACAACACGTTAACATCAGTTTACAACAGGCTAACAAGATGCTAACTGTGTGTTTAGACGCAGCTGACGCCAGCGGTGAAAGATTCTCTGTGGTTCGACATCGGCATCGTCAAGGTTACCAACATGGTGGTCACTCATTACTACGTCCCCCACGACGGCAGCGTAGCCGAGGTAAAAATACCACCTTTAAATATCGTTGAAGTCTCGATGTTGATGGCGTTATTAATGGTATCAGTGGTACTGGTGATGTGGCATACCTGCAGGACGACTCAGGTGTGCTGCAGGATTACAGCCAGATGAGGAAGGTGGAGCTTCAGCCAGGGACGGCCTACAAGTTCCGCGTCGCAGGAATCAACATCTGCGGCCGCGGTGCCTTCTCAGAGGTGTCTGCGTTTAAGACATGCCTGCCCGGTTTCCCCGGAGCGCCGTGTGCCATCAAGATCAGCAAGGTGAGACGCTTTTAACCAATCAGCCGGCAGGGTGTTGGTGGAAAGGAGTTGCCATGGAAACCCAGTCCGTGTTTGTGGTTCTGGTCAGAGACCTGCCACCGAACACATTCGGGTCATGTGACTGAGCTGGTTTGTGGTTTTGCAGAGCTTGGAAGGCGCCCAGCTCACCTGGGAGCCTCCCGCCATTACGTCTGGGCCAATTAGCGAGTACTCTGTGTACCTGGCCATCCAGTCCAGCCAGTCCACCTCCTCCAGGCCTGGTTCCGGTCCGGCCCAGCTTGCCTTCATAAGGGTGTACTGTGGCCCAAACCCATCCTGCCTGGTCCAGGCCTCCAGCCTCGCCAATGCCCACATTGACTACACCACCAAAGCCGCCATCATCTTCCGCATCGCTGCCCGCAACCAGAAGGGCTACGGTCCGGCGACGCAGGTCCGGTGGCTACAAGGTGAGAACCAGCAGAACCTGGAGAGTTCAGATAGAACCTGACATGTTTAGGGATGTTCATGACTTCTTTTTCTGTCATTGTAGAAACCAACAAAGACACCAAACCTGCCGTGAAGAGACCCCTAGCTTCGGACCAGTAAGTTCCTCTTATCTCTCTGTGGAGTTGACAGGTGTACTGCTGCTGCAGGTGTACTGCTACAGGTGCACTAGTACAGGTGTACTGCTGCTACAGGTGTACTGCTACAGGTGTACTGCTGCTACAGGTGCACTAGTACAGGTGTACTGCTGCTACAGGTGTACTAGTACAGGTGTACTGCTACAGGTGTACTGCTGCTACAGGTGCACTAGTACAGGTGTACTGCTGCTACAGGTGTACTAGTACAGGTGTACTGCTGCTGCAGGTGTACTGCTACAGGTGTACTGCTGCTGCTACAGGTATACCATTACAAGTGTATCACTACTGCTATAGGTGTAATACTAGTTGTACTACTACAGGTGTAGTTGTACAAGTCTACTACTGCTGCAAGTGTATTGCTACAGGTGTACTGTGTCTGTTATATGTTTTAACTGTTTTTATTTGTCATGTACAGTACACCTATAGGACCAAAGAAGTTCAAAACCGACCAATAGGACGGCTGTGATTGTTTCCTGTTGTCTTAAGCTCCACCCTGCACCTGGGTACCATGAAGAGGAGGAGGCGGGGCTCTGGAAACAATGGAAAGGACTTGAAGGATATTTGTACATTTTTGACCAACTGGAACTCATCCTGTGTGTTGTTGTCATGGAGATGGTGTGGGGGTGGAGCCAGCTTAAGCTGAATGCAGATGTAGCTGAGATCAGATGCTGTCAGTGGGCGGAGCCTCTGCAGAGGGGTGGGGCTAACAGCTATGTTGTAAATGATAGTTTCAGAATGTTTTTCATTTTTATAAAGAAGTTCCTCTTCTGTGTTTCTGTTTCTTTTGTTTGTGAATATTCTCTGCAACAATAAAGATTTTTAGAGCATTTTCGTACCAACATGGTGACTCCACTTTCTGCAGACCAGTCACACCAGTTACACCAGTTACACCAGCCACGCCAGTCACACCATTTACACCAGTCACACCATTTACACCAGTCACACCAGTCACACCATTTACACCAGTCACACCAGTTACACCAGTCACACCAGTCACACCAGTTACACCAGTCACGCCAGTTTCAGTCTGGTACGCTTCACACATCAACCTGTGTGAAGCAGATAATCAGTAAGGAACCTGATCAGACTCAGCTGTCGATCTGAGTTCAGGAATCAGAAATAAAATGTTCATGGTCGGGTTTTCATTCGATCACCTAAACAGAACCTGAGCAGAAGAACCAAACAGCGGTTCTACAGAGGTTCTGCTAATTGGCCACAAGGAGGCAGCAGCATCATTCTTACCCACAATCCTCAGCAGCAGAGTCATATGATGGAGCTGAGTGAGTTCTCGGTGAAGTTCCAGAGGTTCTGTTCAGTTCTGAACCCGATCATAAAACCCAACCCACCCCATCCAGCTGATGAACACCGTCTGGTCCAGTCTGGACATCATCGGACCGGTTCTGGTCTCACATCGTAGTTGTATTTTGTTCCAGTGGAGGCTGGATGAGGTTTGATTTCCTCAGTCTGACTAATGAATGGTTTCATCTTAAAGCTTCAACATGAATTCATTCAGACTGAAGCCTGAAGAACAAACTCATCAGATCAGCAACAACAACTGGAGTCAACTCAAAATGAAACACGAATGCAACATTAAAACAACTAAACAACAACAATAACCGATAAAAACAGAAACGCGTCATCAATGAGTCACGATCGATCATCGCTGATTGATTATTGTTTTTCATGTGAAAACCTCACAAACATCCTCTGGCTGGAGTCGCTGTGAGCGCGCATGGGCGAGGACGTGGGCGTGCCCGCGGCTGGGGTCGTGAGCGCGCCTCGCACTGCTGCCAGCCTCAGTGAGCGCGAGACGCCGTTGTATCGATAAGGAGGATGAAGAGCGACGATCGGATCAGATCATCGATCACAGTGATCGATCCGAGCAGCAGCTGATCATCGATCATCGATCAGCTCATGCGAGGCAGCGCGCGCCACAGCGGGAGACAATCAGCCGGTTCTGGAGTCCGGACCGGGTCACGTGACGGAGCCGCAGGTGGATGCAGCAGCTGATCAGCTGATCAGGTAGGAACCGGAACCAGAACCAGCACACAGAGCTGCAGCAGAACCTCGGAGTGGAACCACGGCTGGTTCCGTTCTAGTTCGCAGCTCTGTGTTCTGCTCAGGAACATCTGGCTGCAGCTGCCGGTTCTGCTGCTCCCCAGCAGAACCAGAACCACAACAGAACCACAACAGAACAGAACCTGAGCTGCTCCGACTGCAGCTTCTTGTTGTTGTTGTGGCTGCGCGGTCCCGTGCCACGTGCTGCTGCGCGTGCGCGTTTAAAATCGTTATTAATAAATTTACAGTTTTGCAGCTTGATGACGCTCAAACACACACCTGGTACCTGTGCGCGCGTGCGCGCGCGCTCATGATCAGCAGCACCGGATCAGTTGCTGATCAATAATCAGCTGATTGGATGTTTCTTCAGTTTATTCATGAAACACATTTAAAAGAGGCTGGTTACCATAGTTACAGCTGATCGATCGGCAATCGAATGGATCGATTGGTTTTCAGGTCAACACGTGATCCAGAACCTGACGATGGGGCCAATCAGAGAGCAGGGAGGCGGTCATGTGACCCCACTGCTCTGTGGTTAGTTAGTTAGTTAGTTAGTTAGTTAGTTAGTTAGTTAGTTAGTTAGTTAGTTAGTGGGTGGGTTGGTCATGTAGTTAGTTAGTTAGTGGGTGGGTTGGTCATGTAGTTAGTT